AACCATGGTTCAAGTATCAGACCTGGTAGCTTAAAACTCACACAAGGTGTGTGTGTGTGTGTGTGTGTGTGCATGCCCAAAATCCCAAAAGGAGAATGGAGAAGGGATTGCAGTGTGGCCATCTCCTTTGGGGGGTAATTTCTCTATTTCTGTTTCTGTCTTTCTGGCAAGCACACACACCCTATAGTAAAAATATCTTAAAAAAAAAAAAAAAGATTTGAGGTTGACAGTTTTCTTTTAGAATATGGAAAATGTTGTACCATTTCCCTCCTGTCCCCATGGTTTCACATGAGAAATCCACTGTCATTCAAATTGATGTCTCCTTTTTTATTTTCTTTACTTTTTTTTTTTTTTTTTTTGAGGGGTTTTGCTATAGGACATGTGCGCTCGCTAGACACAGAGAGACAGAAAGCGAGAAATCATCCCCTGGGGGGATGACCATGCCACAATTCCTTCTCCTCCATTCTCCTCTCGGGATCTTAGGCATGCACGCACACATGCCCGTCATGAGTTTTAAGCCACCAGGTCCAAGACGTAAACCGCAGTTGACTACATGGGAGTTCAGTGACACAGCCATTACGCTAACTGCTGGTCCCGATGTCTCCTTTTCTTTTGAGAGATTTTTGCTATAGGTTGCATGCACTCACCAGAGAGAGATGGGAAGTGAGAAATCACTCCCCAGGGGGATGGCCATGCCACAATCCCTTCTGCTCCATTCTCCTTTTGGGCATGCTTGCACACTCGCCTGTGTGTTTTGTTTGTTAGAATTATTTATTTAATTTTTAAAATTTATTCATTCATTTACTTTAATTTGACCAGAGACAAACACAGAGAGAGAAAGTGAGAAAGCAAGCCACCAGGTCTGGGACTTGAACCGTGGTCAGCCATGTGGGAATGTCCAGTGCCTTAACCACCATGCCACCTGCTGGCCCCAACCCTGCCTGGTGTGTTTTAAGCATCCAGGTTTGGGACTCAAACCGCATTCGACTACATGGGAGTCCAGCAACATAACCATTATTCCATCTCCTGGGCCCTAAATTGATGTTTCTCTGCAGGCAATGCAACATTTCCTTCTGGTTTTTTTTTTTTTTTTAATTTGTTACAGGGTATGTGTACTTGCCAGAGACACACAGAGAGAAAATAAGAACAAACCTCCCCCCCAAGAGGGATGGCCACACCAAAATCCCTTCTCCATTCCCCTCTTAGGATTTGAGGCACACATGCACACCCAGCATGGTTTTCAAGCCACTGGGTCTGGGACTCATACTGCACAATTGGCCGTGTGGGATTGTCCCGGCCGGCCCGCAGGATAATCGAACAGGCTACCTGAGTGAGAGAGCGGAGGTCTGGAACTGGTGCAGCGTCACAACACAGGAGCCACACAGTGTCACAGCTCTGAATGGTATACAGTTGCTCGTTTATTGAGGGCCAGAGAACATTCTTATATACACAGCAGGGTGGTAATTGGTTGCCCAATATGTAAATGAAGGATATATTTTGGACCAGTAATTGATTGGGTGTTAACCAGGGGGCGGAGCTTAGTGACGGATTGCTGTCGGACCTGATTGAGAAGCTGCTTACAGATGTTAGCTAGGTTGGGGAGCCTAGGGGCGGATTGTTTACTCCCAGAACAGGGAAGTCTGGAGGTCATTGTGTGAAAGTCATTTCAGCCATTTTGGTGCATGTGGCTCTTCACATGGGATCCAGCCTCCTTAACCGCCAGCCCATGGGTTGGCCCCTCTGCTTTTAATGTGCTTTTGTCTTTAGTTTTTAGAGATTTAATTACAATATATCTTGATACGGAGGTTTTTTTTTTTTTTTCTTGATATAGAGTTTTTAAAGTTCATCCTATTTGGGGTTTTCTCAGCTTCCTGTATCCATATGTTTATATCTTTCTCTAAATTGTGCAAGTTTCCAACTGTTATTATTTTGGATACTTTTTCAGTTTCACAATCCTTGTTTTTTACTTCTGGTAATCCAATAATATGAATGTTTTCTCTTTTTATTTATTGATTTTTAAATAATGATTACTATCTCACAGATCCATGAGTTTGTTTTTGTTTGTTTTCAGTCTTTTTTCCAATTTCTGTTCAAATTGGGTAAGTTCTATTGATCTGTCTTCAGGTTCACTCATTCTGAACTTCATCCTTTCCATTCCACTATTGAGTCCATCGAGCAAGGTTTTTATTTTGATTATTGTACTTTTTAGTTATATACATTCTATTTGATTGTCTTTTTTCATTTTTTTCATTCGCGATAGAATGAGAGTATGTGCAAGAGAGAAAGAGAGAAAGGAGCACCTTTCATAGGGCTCAATCACTACCATCTTCTTCTGGTCCTCTACCCTGCCAGGATCCTGGGCATGCGTACACATGCCTAGTGGAGTTTTTGGGCTGACGGGGTCAGGGCTTTGAACCATGGTCAGCACATGGCTTCTGGCTCTGCAGTCTGGTATGTACTGACTCTGTCACAAAGGCTGAACCTGGTTCTTTTTTATGACTTCTATTTCTTTGCTGAAATTTGTCATTTTTACGTTAGTTTCCAGAGAATTTGAAATTATTGTTGAAGCATTTTTATGCTACTTTAAAATCCTTGTCAGATAATTCCAATATCTAATTTATCTTGATATTAGCATGTATTGATTCAAATTGTAATGTTCTTGGTTCCTATTTTTTTTTTTTTAATGTTCTTGGTTCTTGTTATAATTTTTTTTCATTGTATCCTGAACACTTTTGTTATTTTGGGAGACTTGTGTTTGGGGGGCGGGGAGGTTTTTGCTATAGGGCGCGTACGCTTGCCAGAAAGACCGAGATAGACAGAAAGAAAGCAAGAAATCACACCCCCCCCCAGGGGGTATGGCCACGCTGCAATCCCTGCTCCTCCATTTTCCTCTCAGGATCTTGGACACACATGCACATGTGCTCGGCATGAGTTTAAGCCACTGGGTCTGGGACTCCAACTGCGGTCGACTATATGGAAGTCCAGCAACATAGCCATTATGTCAACTGCTGGTCCCAAGACTCTTTTCTCTTTTTAAGAATTTTTTTTTATTTAACAATAATTTATTTTAATTTGACCAGAGAGACACACAGAGAAAGAAAGAGAGAGAGGAAAAGTGAGAAAGCAAGACTTCAGGTCTGGGACTCGAACCGTGCTTGGCCATGTGGGAGTTTCCCATGCTCCTTACACATGTACTTTTTATATGCTTGCACTTTCACAAGCTAACATGAGTGCCTAGCACCTTAACCACCACGCCACCTGCTGGTCTCAGGAAACTCTTAATCCTAAACCTAATCTTGTATTTTAGCAGTCACCTGTTGAGGGGCAGGTTCTAGCCTATTTGGGGCCTTAGTTCTGATGACAGCTTAGTTTTCTGAACCTTTACAAAATGCTGTTCTGAGCTATTTCACTCTTCTGGTGATGCTGCAGCTTCTGCTCAATCCCTGTTGGTGCCGTATGTGAAAGAAAGGTGTTTTTCTCTCACTTGCTAAGGACCTTTGGGGCAGATAGGAGCAGGGAGAAGCCATGGAGCCTGCATCTCCTTACTGCGGGGTAGAGAACGAGGAAACACAAGAATCTGCTGCTGCCACTGGCAGATGGCACCACGTGCTGGCCTGCTGGTAGAACAGAGGCTGTGATGGCCTGGAGTTTCACTGCACCCCCTGCGACCAGAAATTCAGGCTGTCCACAGGCCCCGTTGTGAAGTGGGGTCAGTTCATTTTTCAAAATCTCAAATGCGTGTATTGCCCATGTAAACTCATCCTAAGAACAATGGCCATGAGGAGACCATGAGTTTACAGGGCCGGCTTTCAGTTTTCCTCTAAGACACGTGGCATGATTGAGAGGGGGGAAAGGTCTCTCCTTGAACTGCCTAGAATCACTCTGTGAACCCCCAGAGTGGCCCTCCAGCACACCGACACACTGAGATGTGTGTGTCCTCCTGATGGTGTGGTGAGCAGAAACAAATTTCCAAATGCTGTGTGGCTGTTTGTGATGAGAGCACGCTAGAGTGAGTCCGGGATGTTGTCACCTCACCCCACGATAGCCAAAGCGATGACTGATTAAAATTCGGAAAGCAGCCTCGGTGCACATCGATCCAGGCAGCAAGCCAAACGTTGCCATGCTCACACGCTTACCTGCTTACCTGCTAACCCACGGACTCCATCAGCTGCTCACATGTGCTCATGCTGGCACGTACGGCATTTATGTGCTGACCCACATGTGTGACTGCCCGCTTTCGTGTTTGTTTGCATACTTACTTTCTTCCTACATAGTTACACCTGCCCTAGTTACGCAATCGCGTGCTTACGCATGAAATGTTTACACAGCCACTTGTTTACGTGTTTGTTTGAGGTGGGTTTTTTTTGAGAGGTTTTTGCCTTAGGGCATGTGTGCTCACCAGAGAGAGAAACAGACACAGTGAGAGGGAAAGTGAGAGATCATCCCCAGAGGGGATTGCCGTAATCCCTTTTCCACCATTCTCCTCTCGGGATCTTGGGCACACACGCACATACGCCCGGCATGTTTTTCAAGCCACTGGGTCTGGGACTTGAACTGTGGTTGGCCATGTGGGAGTCCAGGGACGTAACCACTACACCATCGGCTGGTCCCTTGTTTCCATGTGTCTGTGCTCACAGGCTACATGCTCCTTACACATGTACCTTTTACATGCTTGCACTTTCACAGGCTAACACGAGAACACACTTACTTGCTTATCTACGTATCCTATTACATGCTTGCCCCTTTTCCCATTTAGTCTCTTATACTATATATATATATTTTTTTTTTTTTAAGAGATTTTTGCTATAGGGCATGTGCACTCACCAGAGAGACAGAGAAACGGCAAGAAATCACCCCGTGGGGGCATGGCCACTTTACGATTCTTTCTCCTCTTGGGATTTTGGGCATGCACACACACGTACCTTGCGTGAGTTTTAAGCCATTGGGTCCAGGACTCAAACTGCTGTCAACTACGTGGGAGTCCAGTGACATAACCATTACACCATCCATTGGTCCCTTACACTTTATATCCTAAGCACTTACATATGCTGACACAGTTACACACTTATATGATTACAAGTTTACATAATTACATATTTACCCACTGACATAGCTCCAGCTACAGGTCTGATGGGGTCCCAGCTGCCAAATGGAGAAAAGAAAGGGGGGTTGGATTTTAGAGAATGAAGGTTGCTGGTCACGCTCCCAGCCTTCATGCCCATACTCATCCCTGACGCCTACCTCATGCCAGCCCGTTCTTGTAGAGCCTCAGTCCACACCTCTAACCATTGCCAACGTATGTCCTGTGGTCTGGATATGTGGAATTTTCCCCTTCATTTCCATGTGTGTCAAGCAGCAGCCAGCACTGGGGGAACTTGTGCGTTCACCGCCTTATGTGTGGCGCCCTGTGGACGGCCTCCTCCCAGCCTTTTGGCAGCTGGCCTGGTCAGCTTCGTGTGGCTCCCTCTAGTGAGAGTCAGCGTCAGTGTCCAAACTAGAGGCTGCCAGCTCCATGGACAGTAGGTGAAGGGGTCACCCTCAGCGTGGCTGGCCGGAGAGGAGAAGAGCACTGGGTGTGGAGTCTGTACATCTGAAGTCAGGTCAGGGGGAACTTCTGAGCTACAGAGAAAACCACTCACCCCACCTGAGTCTTCATTTCCTCATATGAGAGAAGGGGGTAACTGAGGACACAAAAAAGAAGAGACCGAGTTCTTCCCTCTGTTTTTTTTTTTTTTTTAGTTTGTTTTCTATGAGTGAGAGAGACAGGGAGAGAAATTACACCCCCAACAGGGCCCCGATACCTTGATCCACCTCCAGCTTCAGTCAGCCCCAGGTCATGGACACACATGTGTCTGGTGTACTCAGAGACATCTCCAGATGTGAACAGGAACCTTCACAGGTGGATCAACTTCATAGAGCACCACATACTGCCCTGCACCACCCTTAAAGGCCGCTTCTGCCTTTAAGTTCTAGTCCTGGGTCCAGTTACACCAAAGACCATCAGTGACTGTTTCCAACTGTTATGGGACGTTTTTAAAATTATTTTATTTAACTTTTTTATTTATTTTAATTTGACCAGAGAGGGACAGAGAGAGAGCTGCCAGGTTCAGGACTTGAACCGTGGTCGGCCATGTGGGAGTCCAGCACCTTTAACCCCCACACCGCCTACTGGCCCCTCCAACTGTAATAAAACTTTTGAATATAGTCATACTCCACTGAACTAGACAAACAGCATAAAAGCCAAAGTACACAATTCTGAAAGTGAGGGCCCACTCTACATGCATTCGTATTGTCACAGTGTTGGTTCAGGACAGATTCCTGGGCCCACAAACACTGGAGATAGGGCCCAAGAACACACTCACAACTTGCATAGGGACTCAGTTGCATAGGTTTGTGGGCGGCAATTTCCACTGTTCTTTTTTCTCCACTTGAATGGTTTTGTTTTGTTTTGTTTTTATGAAAGAGAAGCACCTTCCACAGGGCTTGGTCACACTATGACCCCCTTCCTTCAGTCCTCTATCCTGCCAGTATCCTGGCCATTCATGTATGTTCTTAGCATATTTCAAGTCAACTAGGTAGGGGACTCAAACCTCAGTTGGTATGTGGCTTCCAGCTCTGTAGTCTGGTATTCTATCGACATCTCTTCCATCATGAAGCCCTCCCAGACTGATCCCAGATAGAACTAGTCTCTTCACCCTCTGTGGGCACACAATCACATTTGTGTCCCAGCACCTACTCCAGGACTTAACACATAGTAGTGCTCATTTTGTTGTTTCTTTCTTCCATGAGAGAAACATAGACAGAGAGACAGTGAGGCAGGCCTCATCAACAGGGTCAGCACACTGCACTCCACCCCCAGTCTTGGCCAGTCTAGATCACGGCAAGTGTGAATGAGCCCAGCATGCTCAAGGAAGTCCCAGGACACAAACCTAGGACCTTGCCCATGTGAGTCCAGTTGTGTTACCATGGCGCCATCTCCTGGCCCCAGAGGCTCACATTTTAATGTGAAATTCAACCTCCCTGCCCTGGCCCATGAAGTCCTCAGTGAGCTGACCCTTCCCTTCCTACCTCCCTCCTACACCCCAGCTCCTCTCTCTACTCGGCCCTTCACCTTCGATGCTGCTACCACACTGACCTTCGTTCTGTCCCTTAAATGAGCCAAGCTTCATTCAGCCTCCCAGTCTTGGCTGTCTACCCGAAGGAGCCTCCTAGTTATACTGTCTCATCACCCCGTTTAATTTTTTTTAAAGAATTATTTATTTAATTTTATTTATTTATTCATTCATTCGTTTATATTTTGACTAGAGAGACATACACAGAATGAGAGAGAGAGAGAGAGATGGAAAGTGAGAAAGCAAGCTGCCAGGTTCGGGACCCAAACTGTGGTTGGTCATGTGTGAGTGTCCAGAGCCTTCACCACAGTGCCCCCTGCTGATCCCACCCATTTCATTTTTATCATACACTTGTCATTCTCCGATCATTTCCCCCCACAGTGTATTTGCTTTTGTTGTCCTTCCCAGAGAACATAAACTCAAGGAATGAGATCTTAATCTAGCTCCGTGGTGGTCAACCAGGGTTGCTGTTTTTGTGCTTTGTTTCAAGTTTTGCTATAGAGCGTGTATGCTCACTGGAGAGAAACAGAGAGAGAATGAGAAAGTGAGAAAGCACCCCCCAGGGGGGATGGCCACACTGCACTCTCTTCTCCTCCATTCTCCTCTAGGGATTCCGTGCACGCATGCGCATGTGCCCAGCATGCTTTTCCAAGCTGCAAGGTCTGGACTCAGCCATGTGGGATCCAGACAATTTAATCACTGTGCCATGGGCTGACCCAACCAGGATTGATGTTAACCCCCAAGGGACATTTGGCAGTGTCTGAAGGCATTTTGAGCTGTCAAAGCTGGGGAGATGCCACTGCACCTGGTGATGCCCTACGATGACCACGACAGCACCGAGAATTGTCAAGCCCCACCGTGGAGCAGCCCTGACCTGGCTGGTCTCTGATGCCCCAGCGCCTGGCAGCTCAGCTCGCATGAGGCTCAGGCTCAAACATTTTTGCAGCATGAACGAGTGAAATGTTTGAATCGAATGTCAGGCTCCGTTTTAAAGCCCACAAGGGCCTTGGAGAGCAATTAAACCACAAGCTTTCACACTACGTTTCTGGAAGCCTCGGGCAATGGGGCGCAGTTTCAGGAATCCTGCGTGCCAAGAAGAATTTCCAGCAAAATGCTGAAGAAGTAAACTTGGTGACGATGTCTGTTTTATATTTTGAAGTTTCCAATAAAATCGACACGTTCCACTGCGTAGAAAACCTGGGGAAACCACCACCTCGGACCAGTTCTCTCATTTTGCTGAGCTGGAAGCCAGGGCCCAGAGAGGCTAGGGACCCCTCAGAGAGTCAGGTCTGGGTCTCCTGGCTACCCACCTGGGCTTTCGTACGTGGCTCTGTGATTCACCAAAGACACAATTTAGGAGAAAGACCCATGGTATAACAATTATGAATCCAGCTCCACAGCCAAGACCGGGCAGGTTTTCATCCCAGCTCTGCCTTTGTTTAACCAGCTGTGTGTCTTTGTTAAGGCACTTAACCTCTCTGAGCCTCACTCCCCTGCGTACTTGTTAAATGAAGATAATATTAGTACCTAGCAAGAGGGATGTGATGCAAGTTAAGAGTTAGGGGGGCCAGCAGTTGGCGTCATGGCTATGTCGCTGGACTCCCATGTAGTCGATCGCAGTTCAAGTTTCAGACCCGGGGGCTTAAACTCATGCTTGGCATGTATGCGTGCATGCCCAAGATCCCAAGAAGAGAATGGAGGAGAAGGGACTGCGGTGTGGCCATCCCCCCTGGGGGAGGGGGGGGGTGATTTCTCGCTTTCTGTCTCTCTCTGTCTTTCTGGCGAGCGCATGCACCACCCTATAGCAAAAATTTCTCAAAAAAAAAATAAAGTTAGTACATGATAATGTTTGGAACAGAGTCAGGCATGTAGTAAGTGCTATATATAGGATGACCCATTCATCCCTGTTTTCTTGGGACTTTCCTCATTTTAGCACTAAAAGTCTCATATCCCAGGAAATCCCTCAGGCTGGGCGAAACAGGACAGTTGGTCATCCTAGCTAGGTGTGTAAGTTAATTTTTTTGAACTGTCTACATTACCCTTTAATAGTGGTCTGTATTAATGTCCATTTTGACTTTTCAGTATTTATTACTTATTTTTTAATTGCTAGAGTGCATGTGCACTTGCTGAGACAGAGCGAAAGCAGCCCCAGTGGGGCACAGTCATGCTGCAGTTCTCTTTGCTTCATTTACCTCTGCCATCAGGATTTTGGGTACACTTGTGCATGTGCTGGGCATGCTTTTCAAGCTGCCAGGAGGGGATTCAAACCACCAGCAGCCATGTGGGATCTGACTCCTAACATGCAGGGCTTAGTCACTGTGCTGGCGGCTAGCCTAGATAAACATTTCTTTTTCTTTCATTTTTTGCTATAAGGCATGCGAGCTCGCCAGAGAGAGAAAGGGAAAATGAGAAATCCCTAGGCAGGATGGCCGCTCCACAATCCCTTCTCCTCCATTCTTCTCTCAGAATTTGGGGCACGCACAGACACATGTGTTTTTCAAGTCACCAGATCCCAGATTCAAACTGTGCAGCTGGCTATGTGGGATCCAGTGCCTTGACCTCCATGCCACCTGCTGGCCCAGAAAACATTTTTATAGCAGTTGGTTTGTTACTAGATCACCTCAAGGAAAATAACTTTTTTTTTTTTTTCCAAAAAGTTTACATTTCAACTAGTTCCCCACAGGGCCGGCAGGTGGCGTGGTGGTTAAAGGCGTTGGACTCCCACATGGCTGACCCGGACCTGGGGGCTTGCTTTCTCACTTTCTCTCTCTCTCTCTCTCTCTCTCTCTCTCTCTCTCTCTCTCTCTCTCTGTCCCTCCCTGGTCAAATTTAAATAAGTAAATAAATAAGTTAAATAAAAAATATTTCTTCAAATAAACAAATAGTTCCCTACCCAGTATCAGAGAATCTTTTTTTTTTTTTTGAGAGATTTTCACTGTAGGGCGCGTGCGCTTGCCAGACAGACAGAGAGAGACATAGAGACAGAAAGCGAGAAATCACCCCCCATGGGGGATGGTCACGCCGCAATCCCTTCTCCTCCATTCTCCTCTCGGGATCTTGGGCACGCATGCACACGTGCCCGGCGTGAGTTTTAAGCCACCGGGTCCCGGACACGAACCGCGGTCAACTACGTGGGAGTCCACCGACATAGCCATTACGCTAACTGCTGGTTCCCAGTATCAGAGAATCTTAGGAGGCTTTTAGGAACTATGCCATTTCCTTGATGGGAAAACTGAGGCCTAGAGAAAACTCGTTAACTTTCCCACAGTCACATACTAGTGAAGGATGCCCTGGGACTCAGGCCAGGATTCTAACTCCTGGGCCCAGGCTCTGCCAGGGCTTCTCAAACTGAGCTCTGCACCCAGTGGCAGTTTCATAGGGAAGTGGATAATTAGGGAATGAGACAGAAGCTGCCTCACCGGCCAACGCCTACCCCTGCTCCTTCTATTCCATAAACCCGCTTTTTTTTTTTTTTTTTTTTTGTTTTTTTCCACAGGCCCCGGGGTCGCCCAAAAAAGAGGGAAAAGCAAAAACCCCCCCCCCCCCCCCGCCCAGGGGAGGTGGCCGTGCCACTGTCCTTTCTCCTCCATTCCCTTCTCGAGACTTTGGGCACACACACACACACGTGCCCAGCGTCTTTTTCAAGCCTTGGGGTCTGGGACTTGAACTGCACCGTTGGCCATGTGAGATCCAGCCCCGTTCACCCCCACATCACCGGCTGGCCTCTCCACAAAATCCCTTTTCCCCGCTTTGGACATTGGCCTGCAACTTAAGGTTCGCCCAACTGAAAACAACATGATCTGAAAGCCACTCAGTAACATCAGCGGATTTCCATATTTTCATCCCTGGAAAATTTTTGCTTCTTCAGAGAAAAATGTTAACTTTTTCTTTGAACCACATTTTTCCCCCTCTCTAACGGATTTTTATGCGTTTGGAAAAAACAGAGGCGTGGGTCCTTTAAAAGCCTGCCGTTATACTGAAAAGCTCATTCATTCTCTGGAAGGAGCTGGCTGACGTGGGGCGTTGGGAGCGCCTGGCCCAGATGTGAAATCTCATGCTCATTGCTTAGAGAAATGCCACTTAGGAAAATGCTGCCATTTGTGGTCACTTGATAGAAAAAGCTCAGAGCGAGGTCCTAGAAGGTCCTGAGGTAGGCCATGCTCAGGGAGCAGGGCTGAGGGGGACAACGGGCTATGAGACCATCTAGAGCCAGGCCCAGGGTTTATGGGGGAAGGGGCCCTCTGGCGTATTATACCTTTCCCCACATGTCCAATTTTAAGCTGAAACAGATAAGATCCACTTGCATCCAAGTGACTGGGCCCAAACGCTGTTTTTCTAGGTGCTTATCTATGGCCCCTAAAGCCTAAGTTCCTCGCTGCCAGGATCATGGTCTCTGTCTACCATGAGTTCCACTGGATGCTGAGGGTGTTCAGCCTAGGCCGTCACCCTCATAATTTGAAACCAGAATAGATTTGGGTTAGAGGACACCGTGGGAGACAGTCTTTGCCACAGGTGACTGTGTTGGTCAGCTCTTGGCACACAGTAGGTGCTCAAGAAATATGAATGAATGATTCAGTGAGAGAGAAGTTCATGGAAGACTGAATGTTGATAAATGCCACCTGTTGGCGAGTGTCCCCTTCTGGATGGTGGGAGAGTTTAAACAATCCAACAGGACTCAGTGTGGCTTTGTGGCCTGATGGTTAAGGGAACTGGATCCCACATGGCTGACTGCATGGTTTGAATCCCAGTCCTGGCAGCTTGAAAAACACTCTGGGAGCCTGTGTTTGCATACCCTAAATCCTGACAGGGTGAAGAAAAGGAGGAGAAGGGATTACACTGTGACCAGGGCTCACTGGGGAGTGCTTTGTCCCTCCCTCTCCTCCTCCCTCTCCCTCTTCGTCTCTATGTCTTTTTCTGGTGAGCACATGCACCCTCTTGTGGGGGGGGACTCAGGAATTTATGGGCAAGATAAGCAAAGTAAGTCAGAAACAAGACAACATTCTATGTGATAGCAATGATATAAAATTCTAGAACAGGCACGATAAATCTATGATGATAGGAGTCATAAGAACAGTGACCGGGGGGCTCAAAAGAACAGGCAGAACTTTTCCTTATCTACCCAATATTTTTCCCTGTCGCTTCCAGCTAGCGTAGTCACTGGATAAAGTTCTGGGTAACGGTGTAAGTGGAAGCCCAGCCACTGTGGTACAGCAGTAACTCAGTGCCCTGCAAGACGAGAAGCGATAAAACTGACTGTGGACTGAGATTCCCTAAGATGGGCTGAAAATATGCTGTGTAGGCCTCAGGATCCTGAAGAGCTGGAGGGCTGGGAAAACCAGATTAAGGCATGATGAGAACTTGTCAAGGGTAATTCTCTCTCTCTCTCTCTCTCTCTCTGTTGTGCACACATATACTTTGTTATTAAAAAAAGAAAAAATGTTAGGGGCCAGCAGATAGCGTAATGGCTACATCACTGGACTCCCATGTAGTCAACCACAGTTCGAGTCCCGGACCCGGTGGCTTAAACTCATGCCGGGTGCATGTGTGTGCGTGCCCAAGATCCCAAGAAGAGAAGGTAGGAGAAGGGATTGTGGGATGGCCATCCTCCCTAGGGGGTGATTTCTCACTTTCTGTCTCTCTGTCTTTCTGGCAAGCGCATGCACCCTATAGCAAAAAATCCTGTCCGAAAAAAGAAAAAATGTTAATAAGTGGAACTTGGCCCAGTCCAAGTGGTGCAGGTGGTGGGTGCTGCTTTGTGATACCGGAGCAATGTGGGAAGGCCCTGGGTTCAGACCTCAGGTTGTCCTGAACACTGCAGCATATCCATGGGTTCACCCAAGATCCTGGCTGACTGGAATGCCAGTTACAAATGGAACTGTTAGATAACAATTGGGGAAATTCTCTTTTTTTTTTAATTGCCAAAGAGTACATACACTCATCAGAGAGGAGCAGAGGGCAGAGGGAGAATGCTCCCCCATGTGGGGTATGATAAAGCCACAATTCCTTCATTTCTCCTTCTCATAATTTTGGGCACACATGTATGGACACATACCTGGCATGTCTTTCAAGCCACGGGGACTGGAATTTGAACCATGGTAGGCCATGTGGGATCTGGCTCCCTTAACCACTAGACTACAGGGCCAGCCAGTGGAAACCTGACAAGAGCTGGTTTGCTTTGTCCCCTCTTCCTCCATCTTGCCCTCTGAATACAGAAGTGATGGCTCCCCCTCTGTCCGCCATAGCAGATCATGAGGATTAGGGCCACATGCTATGGTTGGAAGAGCTAGGCTCTAGATCCCTGCCAACTCCATGTCCTGTCACACAAGTCCCAGACTACTCACCTGTTCAACTCTGGACTCCTTCTACATCAAAGAAAGAAATCTCTCTCTTGCGTAAGCCACTATTCTTTTATGTTTTTTTGTAACGTGTAGTTGAACTTATTCTTGCTGCCCAACTGTCCTGTGAGGGTGGTGCTGTTACCGTTGTACAGAGGAGGATGCTGTTTGAACACCTGCACAAGGCACATGGCTAAAAAATAAGAAGCACCTGGACGTGACTCTCAGGCCAGGAGGTTGGTGGAGGCTTTCACTGGAGGCTGCTGGGCACACATCACTGTCCCCTCATGCCCAGTTCTTGAGAAACCCAGAGACTACAGCCCATGATCACAGAACCAAGGGAGTCACAGTCACAGACCCAACAACTGGGCCCCACCCACATGATGTCACTGACCCCTCCCAGAGACAATGGAAGGTGGAGCCCCATCCCACTTGAGAGACTAGAGGATGGGGTGTTACGTTCTCTCAATCAGTCTCATAGAGCTAGGAGAGGGCAGAGCCAGGGTTTGAACCAGTGGCCCTTGACAGAAAAGCCCACCTTACTAATCTCTCAGTCATACTGGTGCCTCAGAAGCCATGGAGCTCATCTCCCATCAGACTCTAAGGTTGCCACATGACTAGCCAGCCTTCACTTGCATACCCCCAGTGACAAAGAGTTCATTACCTTACCAGCCTGCAAAGGAGAAGTTTGGGAGCAAGGATTCTAGCCCCTCTTCCAACCTCTTCTTTTCCTGACTGGCCTTGGTCAGTCCATTGGTACTGCCCTGCCCTCAGGAATTCTTACCAGAAGTGGCTTTTCTTTGCCTAGTCCCTCAATGGAGAAGGTGTTAGCTTCTTTTTTTCACTATATATATATATTTTTTTCACTATATATGTGTGTGTGTGTGTGTGTGTATGTGGGGTGGGTGGGTGGGTGTGTATTTACCAGAGGGCACACATGCTTGCTAGAAACAGAGATGGACAAAGAGGCAAAGCAATAAAGCACTCCCTATGGGGTATGGTCATGCCGCAATCCCTCTCCATTTCTCTCTTTTCAAGATTATGGGCATGTACATGCAAGTACCCAGCATGTTTCTCAAGCTGCCAGGTCCAGGACTTGAACCCTGCAGCCGGCCATGTGGGATCCAGCTCACATGCCCATCAAGCCACAGGCTGACGTAGGTGGGATTGGTGGTGTGTTGTCCTGAACACTGCAGCATATCCATGGGTTCACCCAAGATCCTGGCTGACTGGAATGCCAGTTACAAATGGAACTGTTAGATAACAATTGGGGAAATTCTCTTTTTTTTTTAATTGCCAAAGAGTACATACACTCATCAGAGAGGAGCAGAGGGCAGAGGGAGAATGCTCCCCCATGTGGGGTATGATAAAGCCACAATTCCTTCATTTCTCCTTCTCATAATTTTGGGCACACATGTATGGACACATACCTGGCATGTCTTTCAAGCCACGGGGACTGGAATTTGAACCATGGTAGGCCATGTGGGATCTGGCTCCCTTAACCACTAGACTACAGGGCCAGCCAGTGGAAACCTGACAAGAGCTGGTTTGCTTTGTCCCCTCTTCCTCCATCTTGCCCTCTGAATACAGAAGTGATGGCTCCCCCTCTGTCCGCCATAGCAGATCATGAGGATTAGGGCCACATGCTATGGTTGGAAGAGCTAGGCTCTAGATCCCTGCCAACTCCATGTCCTGTCACACAAGTCCCAGACTACTCACCTGTTCAACTCTGGACTCCTTCTACATCAAAGAAAGAAATCTCTCTCTTGCGTAAGCCACTATTCTTTTATGTTTTTTTGTAACGTGTAGTTGAACTTATTCTTGCTGCCCAACTGTCCTGTGAGGGTGGTGCTGTTACCGTTGTACAGAGGAGGATGCTGTTTGAACACCTGCACAAGGCACATGGCTAAAAAATAAGAAGCACCTGGACGTGACTCTCAGGCCAGGAGGTTGGTGGAGGCTTTCACTGGAGGCTGCTGGGCACACATCACTGTCCCCTCATGCCCAGTTCTTGAGACACCCAGAGACTACAGCCCATGATCTCACAGAACCAAGGGAGTCACAGTCACAGACCCAACAACTGGGCCCCACCCACATGATGTCACTGACCCCTCCCAGAGACAATGGAAGGTGGAGCCCCATCCCACTTGAGAGACTAGAGGATGGGGTGTTACGTTCTCTCAATCAGTCTCATAGAGCTAGGAGAGGGCAGAGCCAGGGTTTGAACCAGTGGCCCTTGACAGAAAAGCCCACCTTACTAATCTCTCAGTCATACTGGTGCCTCAGAAGCCATGGAGCTCATCTCCCATCAGACTCTAAGGTTGCCACATGACTAGCCAGCCTTCACTTGCATACCCCCAGTGACAAAGAGTTCATTACCTTACCAGCCTGCAAAGGAGAAGTTTGGGAGCAAGGATTCTAGCCCCTCTTCCAACCTCTTCTTTTCCTGACTGGCCTTGGTCAGTCCATTGGTACTGCCCTGCCCTCAGGAATTCTTACCAGAAGTGGCTTTTCTTTGCCTAGTCCCTCAATGGAGAAGGTGTTAGCTTCTTTTTTTCACTATATATATATATTTTTTTCACTATATATGTGTGTGTGTGTGTGTGTGTATGTGGGGTGGGTGGGTGGGTGTGTATTTACCCGAGGGCACACATGCTTGCTAGAAACAGAGATGGACAAAGAGGCAAAGCAATAAAGCACTCCCTATGGGGTATGGTCATGCCGCAATCCCTCTCCATTTCTCTCTTTTCAAGATTATGGGCATGTACATGCAAGTACCCAGCATGTTTCTCAAGCTGCCAGGTCCAGGACTTGAACCCTGCAGCCGGCCATGTGGGATCCAGCTCACATGCCCATCAAGCCACAGGCTGACGTAGGTGGTATTGTGTGTGTAGTGGATTCTCTCTCTCTCTCTCTCACCATTCTCTGACCCTTTAAAGAGAAGGCAAGACTGTTACAGAGAATGATTTAGCAACAAGCAAATGGGAAGAGAAGGGACTGCAGTGTGGACACGCCCCCGGGGGGTGATTTCTCATTTTCCATCTCACTGTCTCTGTCTCTCTTTTTGGTGAACACATGTACCCTAAGGCAAAAACGTCTAATAAAAAAAGACATCTAGTCCCACATGATTGACTGTATAGTTCAAGTCCTGAACCCAGAAGCCTGAAAAACACACCAGACTCGTTTTCATTCATTCCCAAAATCTTTAGAAGAGAATGGAGGAGGAGGGACTAGGGCGCATGGTCATCATGGAGGGGGGGTGATTTCTCACTTTCCTTCTATCTCTCTTTCTCTCTCTGGGGAGCACATGTGCCCCATAGCAAAACTATAAATCAATAAATAAGAAAGATTACTGATACACTCTACAACGTGGATGACCCTCCAAATAATCATGCTAATAAATCCGGCGGCCAGACAGTGAACAGAAGTAACATGACACTCTGCAGTGCTGGACTCACTTGGGAAGGTCCCAGGTTTGCATCCCGAGGCCTCCCTGTGCATGCTGGGTGCTTGCATTTGTGTTTGTGATCCAGAGCGGCTGGGACAGGAGGTGGAGCACAGCGTGAGGACCCTGTGCCTATTTCTCCTTCTCTCTCTGCCTCTCCCTCTCTCTCTCATAGAAGAAATTTTAAAAAGTTTTAAGAAGTCAGAGGCAAGGCCAACAGAAGATGTAGAGGTTAAGGTGCTGGATCCCACATGGCTGGCTGAGCAGTCTGAGTCCCAGACTCAGTGACTTAAAGTTACACCACAATATGTGACCAAAATCCCAAGAGGAAACTGATGGAGAAGAGATTGTGACATGGTCATCCCCTCTACGGGGTGATTTCTCACTTTCTCTCTTTCTTTCTCTGTCTCTTTCTGGCGAGGGCACACATTCTATAGCAAAAAAAAAAAAAAAGTAATAAATTTAAAAATAAAAAGTCAGATGCAAAAGACCACATACTGTCCAAGTCCTTTCATGTAAGATATGTGAAAAAGGACTATCCATAGAGACAGAACATACATTAGTTCTTGCCTGGGACTGGAATTGACTCAAAACTCGTTAGGGGGATGGGAGTCCTCTAAGATGTTCTAAAACTGGATTTGGGTCATAGGTGTAGAACTTATAGTTTTATTTTTAAAATTAAGCCATACACTCACAGTGGATGAATTTTATAGCATGTAAAATATACCTCAATCACACTGGTTTTTTTTTTTTTCACAAGATAAAGTTGATATAGAAGAAGGTTTAAGGGAACCAGCAGATGACTTGGTGGTTAAGGCACTGGACACTCCCACATGGCCGACTGCAATTCGAGTCCTAGACTTGGTGGCTTTCTTTCTCACTTTCTGTTTCTCTCTGTGTGTCACTCTCTGGTCAAATTAAAAATAAATAAATAAATGGGAACCAGCAGTTAGCATAATGGCTATGTCGCTGGACTCCCACATAGTCGACCGCGGTTCACGTCCCGGACCCGGTGGCTTAGAACTCACGCCAGGCACGTGTGTGTGTGTGCCCATCCCGAGAGGAGAATGGAGGAGAAAAGATTGCGGCATGACCATCCCCCCTGGGGGGTGATTTCTCGCTTTCTGTCTCTGTGTCTCTCTCTGCCTGTCTGGCGAGCGCATGCGCCCTATAGTGAAAACCTCTCAAAAATAAATAAATAAATAAATAAGTGATAAATAAATAAAAAATCAACTATTTAAAAAATAAAAAAGAAGGGTTAAGTCATTTAGTGAAGAAGCCCAACAAAATTCACAATAATTCCCACTTATATAAAAATAAATAAAATTAAACTTCCACATAAGTACAAATACATACATAAATAAATATAGAACCTGTCTTGAAAATTCCACCCACATTTTCAATGACTGATACTTTTTCTTAGAGAGAATTTTATTTTCTAAAGAAACTTTTTGCTGTAGGGTGCACATACTTGCCAGAGAGACAGAAAGTGAGAAATCACCCACCAGGGGGGATGGCCACACCGCAGTCCCTTCTCCTCCATTCTTCTCTCGGGATTTTGGGCACACACACGCACACCTGGCATGAGCTTTAAGCCATCAGGTCTGAGATTTGAACTGTGGTCGACCTTGTGGGAGTCCAGCAACATAACCATTACCCCATCTGCTGGTCCCAAGAGAGATTTTTGCTATAGGCCTGAGACAGAGAGACAGAGACAAAAAGCAAGAAATCATCCCTCGGGGGGGATGTCCATGCCACGATCTCTTCTCCATCACTTTCCTCTCAGGATTTTGGGCATGCACACCCACGCACCTGGTGTGAGTTTCAAGCCACTAGGTCCGGTACTCAAACCAGGGTCGAACATGTGGGAGTCCAGTGACGTGACCATTATACTATCTGCTGG